GTTCTTTTTAGAGTTTTCAGCAATCTAATGAGTAGAGTGCTACATCTAGACAACCATGTCCAACTTACCAACATCGACTGCATGCGTGGTCATATAACCAAATAATCTTGAGTTTTTATCACTGTCGAGAATTTAAAACAACGTACTTTCTTGTGCACGCAAACCCTACCTTCCGGGAAAAATGTCGGTGTGATGATCGTTAAATTTGATCGTTCAGCACTAGGTGGATAACGGAGTTGAGGGAGCTGAAACCGGCGTGGTAGCTAACCTGTTCTCCAAGATATGTCGATGCAATATTCTGTAATTTGCCACATTTGATTGGTGGATTGATTCAGATTTTCAAACCACTGGAATGAAATGTCTATGGGTACGCTAGAACAAACTCGTGTCCTATGATATACCATCAAGCAGACAAATAGACAAACTTATAATCTGCTCAGTCCACTTAGACCAAACGGGGCACCAGGCATTGGAATCGCCTTCCCACTGAACAGATTAGGGTATCTTTCACAAGCACGAGCATCGAAGAGACATCCCATGAAGCTTCCTAGAGATGGTCTCAAGGCGTGATACCATCCGAAAGTGAACCTGACTAGAATTAGCCACGTCCCTCCATAAACCCAATGGTATTTTGAACTCGATATTTGATGGTACCGAACGTAAAATGCTCCTCACCTCTCAGACCCCACGTTGTACATACGGATCATATTTGGAGCCATCGAGGCCTCTTCATATTGGACGAAAAATGAAACCACTAGACAAATTACCGGTCGGATACCATAGTTGTCAACTCCCAAAGACATCCTAGAAAATAGTCATTCAGTTTACATAAATTTAAAACCCTTTGCTCTCGCGTGGAACTAGCAATCATTTGCACTGAACTCCTAAGAAACTTGACTGATTACTCGCTCCGAGCCACCGACTCACACACAAATGCTAGTTGATCAGGGCTAACATGAATAAGTGTATTGTATTCTTATACTGCTGTATTCTTTGATGGACTTGGTTTGACTAAGAGACTTGTGATATGGTCCTTCCGTGCAATTTCTCCAACGTTTAGGCGTAAAATACTACTCAAATTAAACTTCGTATTCAAATGAAGGCGGTTGGTGTTTCCCCTCTTTTTTCGAACTACGATTGGTGGACACAGCGGTTGGGACTAACGTCCCGCAATCACATTGGTCGACTTACTGGTTACGTGTCGAGCTAAATCAACTAGAGCAATATGCGCCGGGAGATTTAACTGATGCAAAGCCTGTCGTGGATCTAATTCCTTGTGCCTAGTTATTTGTGAATTTGGGGGACAAGGTAGACAGCTGTAAACTAACGGTTCCCAAGAAAGATGAACAAGAAATTGCGTTGTTGAAATGGAACGGTCTAAAAGGGACCACGCATAGTTGTATTTAAATCCAGCTTTCCCCAGGGATGATTGTTAAACTGTTGGATTTTCAAATACCTACTGATTTGTTTGACTTCACTGATCTTAAAATGGTGGGACGGATGAATCCCCGAAATCCACCTCATATAGGGTAAGCGGGACTGGGGGACCTTGTTTTCTGCAAGTCCCATTCAGTAGCTCAAAGGCTAACACCTACAGATTCTTCCAATAAAGCCCGTGCGTCCCTGTTTGAATTTCTTCGAGCAATTATAAAAGCCGAATTCTGGAAGACAGTTAATAAACAGACGATCATGGTCGAAAATGTTTCGCCGACAGTATCTGAATAATTAACGTCTCAGTTAGATGTATTCGTGTAGATTGATTGGGTCTGCGGTGAGCTTACACACAGAGAAGGAAAGCGGTTTGGGCTAGAGAAACACAGGTTCGCAGGCGACCCTCATACTGAGGGTGTAATTGTCTACTGCACATCCTCTAATAGATCCTTCTATCATTCGAGCGATTTCTAGAAAAGTGTAAGTGAATAACAGCCGTCGGAAAGAGAAAATTCTGAGTACCCAAAGTATCCCAGTTGTATGTTCAGGATTTTTTTTACATTTAAGGGGTTGAATTTAAATTGACCACTGTTCGGTGACCACTACAGTCCACTTCAACAACTTCAGTCGTTCCCATTACTAGTGAAAGGAAGAAGGCCTTCGCTGCGGAAAATGCCAACCGACCAGCTACGGACTACTGAACAGGAAAGCGAAACTCTCATATGCATCTTGTTTACAAAAACAGAACGTACATCTTCACTTGAAGGCGTCTTCCTGAACTTCCCTGGATATGTAGTGACTCTTGCTCAAATCCAAGCAAATGCTACAAAGTGATTCCACAAATTCCGCAATAGATCTCACTTTTCAAGAGGCTTAAAGCGGGTTTACGAGAAAACACACTACTCGCGTGCCCCCTCTATCAGTAGTATCAGCGTTACACTAGCGCTCCCTTATCGGATAAACAGAAGTTTCAAAAACGACTTGAAACGCTCCTCACAAGAGGTTCCGCTAACTAGTTTGCTCTCCTAGTTTATCGATTCCACCTTACACGAAAGAATCAAGCGTTCAGAAAAAACACCGGCAATTATACGCTGAAGGTCTTGCTGACCAAATCACATTTCGCCGTCATATTACGTTTCGTGCATCAGTGAGATTAACAAATATCGAGGAGAATGGTAATCCCCCCCCACATTGTACAAAACAGCAATACCTATAAAGCCATGATATGGAGAGCTTCTTAATCAACAGAAAACATTCAGGCAGAGTTTCAACACGGTTCATCCAGCTTCATCTTAAGCTGATTAACTAAGCACGGGGGGTGGAAGGCTCACTGTGAAGACCATCGATAGGCGCATCGATTGGCATCCAATAAACCAGTCGTATTCTCCTCTTTTGCGGCGGATCTAATTACCACAGGCAATCAGTAGGTAACAATGGACCGATTACTCCTATCTTTCTACTATCCGAGAACTCTTTTTTCTTTATCTACGGCCTCTAGAAAGGATGGACGAGACAATTAGATAAGCCAAGGGAACAATAAAAAAGCGAGGACAAATAATTGGCAGGGCACAGTTTGGGCTCACCCTCTTTCTCGTGCTTCAGTGGCGCTGTGATTCTATTCAGACAGATAAAGGAACGCTTTTTTTCCGAACGTATATGCTGATTGGTAGATGTGAATTACTGATATGCAATTTTTTTCCTCCTGGAACTGCTTTTTTCCTACCTAATGGTAATAAATCATTCATTGAGCTGGTGCTAGTTGGGTCGGTACTTCACGCAGGAGTGCGACAGGCGAAGATGTCTGCGGCGAAGTAAATGTTTCGTCAAGCGGCAGTTTTACCTAGACAAGTTTCTTCTGACTTAATTAGTTACCGGAAAGTGTATCAAAAATGGAATGTTGTCTGTAATTATCTGCCTAAACAAAAATTCTTAAGCTTGTTTTGTGAGATTCACTTTGCAAGACGCGATAAAAAAAACACTGAACGAATAATCCTGCCCAACACGCGTGAAAAATTGACATGTTGTGGTCATTTCGCGGTCGATTTGTTCACATAAAACACGCAAAAGTTTAAAATATCAAAACCTTGAAGTTAATTCGCGTTTATTCGTGCAAGTACACATCTGGTCATGATTAAAAGCAAGCAGAATTTGAAAAGACTGCTTATTTTGAGGTATTGAAACAAGATTATGGGACTTTCTGTCCTAGCCATCAGTAAATTCCTGAAGAAAGGGGCCGTTAAAACGGGTATCATCTCAGAGAATTGGCTTCACGAAGTTCTCCGTCGAATACGGTGCGAAGTTACTGAACGAAAGGTCCATGATTTGAACTCGACTGCTCCTGTGCAGGCTTAGGCAGCCTGGCACTAACTACGCTTGTTGAAGCTTTGCAAGAACAAAGACTTTTTTTATAGACGCAGTGCTGTATTGATAATTCAATCTCTGTAGATTACAGTGGCTATAACCCAGCGCCCGCAGGAATGAAAATGAACGATAGTCCGACAACGAACAATGGGTTTGAATACCAGCGAGATCCCCATCACAAGGACTGCGGATACAGTATGAAAACAGTGCGACTGTTCCAACCAGGTCACCGGCAAATCTTTACTTATCATGACAGTGGTTTTGCTTTACACTTGAAAATACACGTTAGGAGTCAATGATCTTAAAAAAACGAACATCATAATAAGCATCATAATAACATCATAATAAGCCTGCCATGACAGCTCAATAAGGTTGAAAATCAAGAACCTCTGCGCTTTTCAAACAAATCTGCCGTGAGCAGTGGATTTGCGGAAAAAGAGCGTTCATCAAGTCGCCGTCTTCTGGTTGGGCTGACGTAGAATCTGTGTGTTCCAGGTCAGCTGACCAAGCGGCATCGACCGCGCGCTCAAAACTCGAGACGTTGGAATTTGTTAGACTCACTTTTCACAACTGCAGGTGATGCAGAAGAGATTTAAGCTCAGCACGCCCAAAAACTGAGAGTTAGGTTTAGCTTAAACCCCAGTGTCTTGTGGATTAGGTCTCTTGGGTGAGTTCTTCCGAGGGTGTACAGGAGCGAAATTAGAATGCGTTCCTCTACAGTGCATTTTTCTGGATATCAGAGCAAAGAAGGAGCCACGTGTTTTACTAACTGAGACGCACAATGTGAGGATCCCCACTGGCATGAATTGGGGCAGAGTCCTGTTGTTTGGAGATGGCTTAAACGCCACGGGACTGACCTTGCGGTACCAAGTAAATGCCGGCCAGATGACCAATGGAATCTACCTTGATCCCAGGAAATCGAGCTTGAACAAGGCGTAAAAGTGGACGTGTGAATCCGAGGACAGCATACATATTGAACCGCAGCAACTCACAAATGATATTCATCTGGTATTATCTGTCAAGCATAAGGTTTACAACAGTGTCTGTGTTTCTAAGACGATAAGAAGGTGGATTCTGAATACAACTGCCGGGATCTTATCTTTGAAGCAGTTAAGCCAACCCCGTTGTAACTTTGTTGTTTAAAGGACGCGGAAGCCTTGGGCATCAAATAACATTTGACAAGTAAGTAGTAAAGGAAACTACTCACAAGGTTGCTGAAAACTCTTTGACTGTCGAAGAGTAGTTTCCCTCATGAAAATATACTGAGATATCTCAAATACCGTGCCAAGTGAATCGAGAGGCGGCCTGTGTGCTGCACATTCACCTGGAGGACATCATAAACGAAGGATTCAGTTGAGTCTCTCGTGAAAACCAAATTGACTTGCAAATGAGTGTGTTTCTCGCAAGTTAGTAGTAAGATTACTGGTAATGCCCACTGCACCGGCAGTCACGATAGCAGACACGTTGTTTAATATTGTGTAGAAATCATTTTTTATATAGACCTAGTCGAACTTTCTTCATCATTGTATGAGAAATATGTCCTAAATATTTGCCAATACGGGCTGACCAACCGTTCATATCCGTAGACATCCAAATACGGACTATCAGCAGGCTGTCCGGAAGGTACCTCGACTTATCCCGTAATGTGTTACGTCTACAGGCATTTAATCTGACTGCAAGTTTCCCAATGACCGTCGATTTTCATGGGCTCACTAGATCATACTAGGATCGAATGTTATTTCCGCTGCTTGAAATTAAATCAGCGCAGTGAGATAACCAGTGAATACTGACTGATCTGCCGAGCTGATTTTTAGTCTGTGAAAACACGGGAAAGAACAAGAGAAAATATATTCGTAATGCTTGAAACAAAATGGCAGGAAATTAGCGAATATGCACTCATTTGCACACTGATTTGTTTTTTCGAGGCACTCACCTGGAACCCAACTGAATCCCTCGTTTGTGATGTTTCCAGGGGCCGTGGGCTGTCGATGAATTTTCAGCAACCTTATGAGTAGCACATCACGAATATACATGTATCGCGATATCTCGAATATCGTGGCGACTGAAACACCAGACGGCCTGGTGAAGCACATTCAGTTGCCTGGAAACATCACAAATGAGAGATTCATCTGGGTTCCAGGTGAGTCTCTCGCAAAACCAAACTTGTTTGCAAATGGGTATATTTCGCTAAGAGCGAACATAGTTTTACACAAGGAGATTTCCACGTACAAATGTTCATCACCCCATTTGAGATTCCACAACTTTGCTTATCTGGCCACTTCCAAATCATTCAGACCACAGAAAATATCGGATGACTTCAAGGTTCACTTGCCTAGCTTATTCACTAACAGATACGTAGTGCGCTGAAGCAAGAAGTTGATTACCCTGAGGCAGTTTCGAGACTGCCATTTTACCAGAAACCGTATACGACCTCGTCACGGATTCGATTAACTGGACAACCAATCTGGAGTTCAGCCAACGGATCTTCTAGTGTCGTTCGTATGAGGACAATTTTTTTCGGAGTAAATCATTCCTTGAAAAGTATACGCAATCACAGATTTTGGTGAAATAAGTGAACGATTTTCACCGTCTGAACTGTCCAACATCTTAGGCCAGTGTATTCGAATGCCCGATGAAGACTGTGATTCTCTAGGACTCTGAATTGATTAGTTGGCTCAAACAATACATTTTTTATTGGTGGTTATACAACAGCGAACGTCTCCATGACATGGTGACAAATTCAGACTCTTACGAGTGAGGACGGACAAATATCCTTGGCACGAAACGGAACCACAGTAATCCAGGAAAATGTAAGTGTCTGACAGATGTTGAAACGTACAAGCTGCCCGTAGGGAAATTGGTGAGTCGGTAATCATTCAAAACGACCATCATTTGGATTCTGTATATGTCGTATTGATCGGCGTGCTGTCTAGCACAGAAGAAAAGTGGAGTTTTATCGCTCAGTGTTTCAGTCAGTTTGAGCGATTTTTGTCTGCAGAGAAACGATTAGGATCACTTAAAAAAGAAGACACGTGACTATTAGTGCCAGCGCAGAAGTAATCAATATCCTTTGGGCTACTCTGACTCGTCAGGCTCATGATTAGAGGTGTGGACTGTGCAGAGCATGAGGGAACCTTCTCACTTTTTTATGACGACAAAGGGTGGTTGACTATCGGTTCCGCTGAGACCAAGAGGCCAGAGTATCTGAAGGTTCAGCGTATCATGTTAGGTTGCCACAAACTGATGTCAGGCTAGAAATGCCAATTGCTTCCCTAGTCTGTTGTACCATACAGTGCCCAGGGATAGTATAAAGGTACGTCTTTTGCGTACGCGTAAGTGACTTTCGGTTTCCCTGATGTACCTGGATTCAAAATCCTCGCATCGTCTTTAATAGACGGAGTCGTTTTGATGATCCACTGACTCTGGCCTTCTGGGTGCACCGAGTGTCACAAAAGGTGTTGACTATCGGTTCGGCTGAGACCAAGTGGCCAGAGTATCTGAAGGTTCAGCGTATCATGTTAGGTTGCCACGAACTGATTTCAGGCTAGAAATGCCAATTGCTTCCCTAGTCTGTTGTACCATACAGTGCCCAGGGATAGTATAAAGGTACGTCTTTTGCGTACGCGTAAGTGACTTTCGGTTTCCCTGATGTACCTGGATTCAAAATCTTCGCATCGTCTTTCATAGACGGAGTCGTTTTGATGATCCACTGACTCTGGCCTTCTGGGTGCACCGAGTGTCTTTCTGTGGTACCCCTCCCCCACTTTAACTGTGCTAGGATAACTCATATTTTTTTCTCGGATGTTTCATACTTGTACAATCCATATACATGTTTACAGCGATTCGTTTTGTGTCTCGCTTCGTTATGTTTTAATACCCAACTAAACCCTCTTTTGAGGCCTCTTCCGACGACTTTGCCACTGCTCGTTTCATGCTCAAAGGATGACCAAAACGATATTTCACACACCGATCGCAGCTGGCCTACTAGCCCATGCAGTCTCGGGCCCCATCTGGTGAGCATGCCCTATCCGGCTGATCGCACCGCCAACCCGAATCACCAGACTTGCTTCCGAACGAACCCATTTCTCTCTTTCGATATTCAAGGTTATCAAACCTACGCGTAACTCAGAATTCCGTACCGGGAAGCTCAACATAAATAGAATTTCTCCGATGAGTGATCTTTAATTCGGACGTGGAAATACAACTGATTTCGCAGTACCAGTTTTAATTTTAGGTAAATACGTATATACTGTTATACGGAGTTTAGCTTTGCTTCAGCAATTTGTTGTATAGTTTTCAAACCTGTCCACTCGTGTGTTGGAAGGCTAGGGTTGTTAACATCTAATTTAGTGGTCGTGGTAGAGAATATTGCCTGTAGGTCATGAAGTTGTGTTGTGCACTTTGTAGGAGAAAGATTCCCTCGTCTGGCAGCGAGCTGAAAGTTAATCCTATGTCGTCGTTCGATGAGTCGGGCACACCAATCACATCGCTCAAGTGTGAACACGTTCGCCTGTTCAAATGTGATAATTCAGATGCGTCCAACGTGCGTTGGTGGAGTAGGGGTTACACGCTCGCCTCGCATGTCAGATGTCCGGGGTTCAAATCCCAGCACGGCCATTGGATATGCACTGCTGATGAGCTTGAAGCTCGAGTCTAGTGCTTCCCTTTGGTGTG